TATAATGCGAAATGCGCACGTATGGCTATTTTATGCTTTGATGGCATGTTTTGATGTCATTAAACTAAATGCAAGCGTCAAAATGATTAAAATCACTTGTACGTATGTCGTGATTTTTTTTATATAGATACAACTAATGGTTTTATATATCAATTTTACATAATATATATATTACTTATATATATATTGTAAATATAAAGGATTATTTTATCATATAAATTATATATAAAAGAATAGAAGAAATAAACTTTAAAAAAGAGACAGCAAACAAATTTGACAATGAAATTTTGTAATATTTTTTGCGTTAATATTTTTTAATTGTTTCTGTCTGTGTATATTATAGCTTATTATAACATGTTGATAAAAAAATATTATAAACAAACGGCTCAAATAATGGATAGTTTTTGAACTGTGGTTCATTATAGGTTATAGGTGCTCTGTGAACAAGTTTTCGAGCAAGTTTTAAACTTTTTATGGTATATATTATAGCACAGACATAGATACATTATAGCAATTAAGTTTATAATTTATAATAATTATTTACATCACATAAAGAGACGTTGTTCCTTCATATGCCAATTATTGCGAAGAATATTACTAAGACCTCGGTAGTTTAAAGGCTTAGGACGCTCGCACGGAATGCAAGAGATCCGACCACCGTCCAAGGTAATATTTTTCACAGTAAGAATTAATTATTTACAGATTTTAATATGTCATTCAACATTATTAAGATCGTTTCGAAGATGCGAATAAGCATCAAAAATTTGTTAAATTGCTAGTCAATTTAACTCGTGATATTACTGCGGTAGTTCAGTAGAGTTAGCGTTTCAAGACCGAAAAATCATTTCGGCGCGCGTTTCTGGGGACTACACACGTAATATGTAAATTCACATAAGAATCATACAAGCATTAAGATCCAGCTATACCGTTTAAGGCCTTGATTTATATAATTTATAATAATTATAATTTATTATTATATTTATTATTATAATAATATAATTTACAGAATATATTCATGTGGTGAAGTATAAGTAAAAATAATAAAAATTACGGTAAATCTCTAGATCAGGAGATCCCCCAATGACCTTGACCTTGCCATATGTTGTCAAGGTCATGACCCTCCAACAAGTTTTAGCCGTTATTTGTTAAAAAGTTATTAAGAAAAATAACGCTCATTGTAACAATTTTTGAACATATGCATATCTTCTGTTAGCGTATACAGAACATAACTTTCACATAATTATGTTTTATATTATATATATATATATATATATTTCAATAGTCTTTAATAATTTATTATCTAAATTCTAAACATTATATAATTTCTATCTTTTTCATATTTTAAAATTAAAAAATTGTCATAAGTATTAAAGAATTAATTTCTAAATCTGCTACTTCTAACTCTAAAAATCAAATTTTTAAATATGTCAAATAATTACAATTTTATTTGAACGCGATATTTAGATTTATCTCATAAGAGGAACACCAGGTGATGGGGTCGGGGATTTTGATGCACTTTTTACAGGCTGTTCTTGAGCGAAAAAAAACGATACGTGTTCAGCTGTTTCAGTCATTGGCCCATAGTTTCGAAGAAATCGATTTTTTAAATAATTATTGTAATAAATAATTTGAAAAATGTACTATGTAAATAAAAATATTAGTATTTTTATAAATTTCATTTTAATTTAATGTTATTAGTTTTAATTACTTTTTGATTGTAATGAAATTTCATAAAATTACGTATTAGTATTATAGGTAATTAAACACTCATTTATGGAATATTTATTATTATCGTCGTTATCGTCATCGTTGTTGTTATTCACATAAATGCATAAATAAGATTATAATGAAAACTGTTACAGTTTCTGATGAAATTAGAAATTGGAAATTATGATTAGGAACAAGTAAGTCATATGTTTATAATTTTCTTTTGATTAACATTAATCGAGTTATTAATAATAATAGAAAACTAATCGTGTTTCGTAGACGTACATTGTACGGGATGATATAAATCATAAAAACAAGAAAAACATAAATATTTTTGCATTGTGAACATTTTACGAATGAATTTTAGAATGAATTTCATTTTAGCACGAAAAATTTGGTTCTCAAAATTGATCCCTGAAAGAATATTCCTATTTCCATAATGTCAATCAAATCTGCTTTTCGCCAGATATTAAAAAAAGTTATTGTGTCTGCAATAAAAATTCATTTGTAATTTTGTGAATAGCAACAACGACGACGATAACGATGATAATGATAAATATTCCATAAATGAGTGTTTAATTATCTATAATACTAATATATAAATTTCATAAAATTTCATTACAATCAAAAAGTAATTAAAACTAATAACATTAAGTTAAAATAAAAATAAAGATACTGATATTTTCATGTATACAGTACGTTTTTCAAGCCATTTCTAACAAAAATGAACAACATTTTCATCAATTATTTATTCACACATACCATGATTGTAGAGGTTTCCAAAGTTATAAAATAAGTGTTCGCTGAGAGATATAATTTTATCTTCATTCTGTATTAGAATACTTTGAGTCAAAAAGGTGCATAGACTCGGTAGTAAACACATACTCAATATAATGCACTATATTTTTCAAGAGAAAATTTTTACCATTCATATATTATCATATATCGTTTCACAGTGAATATATATAATTGAATTCTACAAAATTATTTTTAAATTATGATAATTATCTTATCGGTCATATAACTTAATTGTTACTAATAGCTACCGCAACATTGCAGTTTAAATAAATGTTAAATCAGATAAACACTTCAAAAGTTTAATAATAAATTTAGCTGACCTCTGTATGTCCAAAAAAGTATTGAAAATTCGATAGCCGTTACGGTGGAAAGCTTTGTAGGTTTACTACTAATAGTTTTATTGCGAAAAATAATAGGTAATAATCCGTTTTTAAAAGACAAGGCATCTTCTTGTGGCACGACCTAGAC